TGCAAGTGATATTCGTGAAGGCCAAGAATGAGAACAATTTCCTACAGACACCCAGTGAGGTGGTGCCTCATGTTGCAAGAAAATAAACCAGGTCTCATAGTGCAGCATGGTGATATAATATTCACTTGTGATTGAAAGCAGTCTTCACTTCAAAGCCATGTCTGAATATTTGAAAATTGCAATAAGACTGAATTACTGTAAAATTGTTTTGTTTAGTACTTCTTTCAGCTGCTACCCACAGGGGTTGCAGATCAGTTGTTTCCATCTCGGCAAACCATGCCCTGCCCAACACGGCATTTGATTATACACATATTTGATTTGGCACTGGCTTTTTAAAAAATGCCAGATTCACTTCCTGACGCATTTATTCAGGCTTGGTATTTATGGCTTGTGTCCCAGTGGCTGCGGAACATCCCCCGACTCAGTGTCTTGCCCAACACATGGACAGGAGGAGGCGGGGATTGAACCTCCAACTCTGTGTTTTGCAGACAACCCACCTGAACTGCCTGGCAATTACTGTAATACTGTATTTGGTGCATTATGGTCTTAGTACGACTTAAATAAAATGTCAGAATGTGTCATCAACGTCACATGAGAGCTTCAGTCTCTCTTTTATCAAACTTATCACAAGATCTGAAAAGCACTTTTCATCTTGAGCTTATGTCCTGAACACTACACTGGTTTCTTTTCTGCATTTTATTATCACAAATCCTCAATCATACTGTAGTTCCCTTTTTAATACACTTCTCCACTATAGGGCTGCAACTAACTATTATTTTCCTTTCCAATTAAACTGCTAGCTTTTTAGTCTGTTAATTGACTAATTGTTTTGTCTAAAAGAAATAGTGAAGAATGCCCATTATAATTTTCCAGAACACAAGGTGATTTCTTCAAATGTCTTGCTTTCTCCAACCAACCATCCAAAGTCCACAAAATATTCAGTTAAAAAGGAACAAGAACAGCAAATCCTCACATTTGAGCAATTGGAACCAGTGAATGCTTAAAGAAGTTACTTAAATGATGAATCAGTGGTCAAAATAGTTGTAAATTTATTCAAGTGTATAAAGATTTATGGGAATATGCACTATAAATAAAATTAAATGTACACACATGCCCGTCATAATTTCACTTTAAATATCTTTTTTTAATATAAATCGAGATGTTCAGTTTATTATCACATAAGATAAGAAAAGCAGCAATGACTGAGAGCTGGAACAAATGGACATCTAGCATTTCACTTAGAAAATGAATCAATTATGAAAAAGTTTCTGATAGTCTATCAACAGATTATTTTGACATCTAATTTTACACAAACACAATACATTATCCATGCACACCTTATGGCAACTTTAACACCAGTGAAAACCCCAGCCTAGCCTACATTTACCCATTTAATGATACTATTTATGCATGCTCAAATCCTAATTCTGGCTTTTCCAACGGGCATTTGAAGGCACTTCTTATGCACAAAGCACTCTTGGTGCAAGAAAAAGACAAATGAACAGTGCTTTAAAACTAACAGAAGTTAAAAACATACCTGGTAGCCAAATTCAGAGCATAACATCTGCCAATATATGTTGAAACTTCTGCAAAAAAATCCACCGAACACACATCAAACAAACTTTTTTTTTTTTTAAAAATAAATTATCTGTGAGCTATCTGTGGGCTGTGATGAGACCCACAATAAGTCTCTGAATCCAGACTCAAGCAGCGCTCAGACCCTAACAGATCAGATGTTATCAGCTCATCCTGTTGACACCTTTCAGAAGGGCGATGGCTTATCTGCATATAGCGAGGAGCAGTGTGGTTTGTTTAACTGCATGGAGGAAACTGCGCAGAGCTGTTTTCAACGGACAGAAAAGCCGCAAACTCTGAAGTGTGTGTAGGCATGTGTGTGTGTGTGTGTCCGCACTCCCAGATCTGTAGGGTAAGGGTGATGGAGAGTGTGACTTCCGAAGTCAAACCGTCCAAACGGAGCCTCAAACCACGTGGGGTGAGTTGGCAAATGTTCACTTTATTCCAGTGTGTCCGAAAGTTAGAAATCATTTATCTAGGAGAGATCCTACGAGCCTGTCGGGTCAGAAATAGTTCACATGACACGAGAAGAAGAAGAAGAAAAAAATGTTTTTGTGTGCGCTCTCAAGTAACCAATAACAATGACTCACGTTCACACATAAAAACGGAACTTAAAACTCTGCGAAAAAAGTGTCTTCGCAGTTTCTTTTGACAGGGAGGGCTGAAGTTTGAGCCCATGAAAGCGCGTATTATGGTAAATATCTTATCCGGGTATAGTGTGGTTATAGTCGATACTGATAGGTATATTATGGGGTTACGCGAAAAGACATGCGCTTGTCCTGTCTGCATAAACACCCTGCTCATATTAACAAGACGCAAATAATATGAAAATCATGTACGCGCAATAGCTCGATCACAGTGCGAGTGATTTCCATACAGGCTGCGAAAGCGACGCAAACCACGGTAAAAGTAAAAACCACACTGTGGGCGAAATAACACACGGTTTCAAACACCCCTAGGTGCAGTGCTTTAACTACATGACATAGTTTCACAATCTGCCATGTCATTTGTTAAAGATACACCCGTGCGCGTTTGGCCAAGTTTGTTTGGTTCGGTCTCATAGTCCGCTGTTTAATTGGAGATCTGGCAGGATTGAGCCAGTAAATATGTTGTCTTACCTCGCTGCTGTGGTGGCAATACATGATTTCCACAAGTGCTCCATGAAACACAACTTCCAAGAAAAATAAAAGTGTGAGGGGGGGAAGTCGCTCCTCTGCTTGTTTAGTGGTGTAGGTCAGATCAGATGCGCCAAAAAAAATCCCACCAAATCTACTGAAGGCCTGCCAAAAAAAAAAGGGTTGGAGCGACTCGCCCGAAGTCCACGCGGCTTTTAGAGAAGTTAACAAACTGAAGAAAAGACAAAAGGGAGGAGGATGGTCTTTGATCAATAGGCGGAGTCACACCCTCTGTCTATCCACGGCGAGTTTTCTACACGTCCCCCCCCGCCTCTGGCCACATTCTCACTTTTATTGGCTGTATCCTACTGACCAGCCTGCTGCTGATGCACCTTATGTGAACTTAGTGTCATGTTTTTACCTTTTCATTCATAGTGTGAGAGAGTGTGTGTGGTGCTGAAGAGAGAAAGAGAGAGAGAGAGAGAGGAGAGAGAGAAGTGTGTGTGTGTGTGTGTGTGTCTAATTTATTTCCTCAGCCTGATTTTTTTAATCTCCTTTCTCTGTTGTTCTCAAACCTTCAGGAGGGGTGGTCACCAAAAATAAGGAATCAATATTATTTGACTCCGTTGATGTTAAAAGACATCAGTTCAGTTCATCATGTTTTTGATGTTATTTGTTGCTTATTCCAATAGCCATTAAAAAAAATTGTTTGTGAACCCCTCACCTGGATTAAGTTCCCCCACTGTACAACAAAATGAACACTGCATGGCTTCACTCTCTCGATGAAGGCACATGAAGGAATCAAGGATTTGGAGTACACTTCCATAATGATATCTGCAACAAGGAAATGAATGTAATGATATTCTGATGGTAACATATTAGAGCGTTTCCCTTGAAAAACACAGTGGTTACACTCAAAGTCCCATAGTGCAGAATCCAGACGGTCAAGGGGGGCATGTAGCCTCCTCAGTAGCCTAAAAACAAATTGAATGAATTGCAGAGCAACAGAGTTAAGGATGAGGGATTGTATAAAAACAAACAAGAGCATAATATAACTAGTATTAGTTTGAATGGACAAAATCCTGCTGTGAAGGAAGGCTCCAGCACAAAATCATCATGCGTTGACCTCATCCTAATGTAGTTAATGGTTGACTAGTTGACCAAAGTTACAATCAGGTCAGCCATTACCTCAGTCAAACAGGGTTTTAAGTCGCTTCTCGTCTACTAGTAGTAAAGTAATAATGTTTGATTTTAGCAGCATGCCTGATGCTTTAATAACATCATCACAGTAAGCTATTATAATAGGCAATTTAATATTAATCCAAACCTAAATTCTTCCACTTGCTTGAGTAACCCTATGGATGAGTTCATTTCTTGCTGCACTTGCATCATACCCGTCCCTCTTCACCTGAGTAGGAGTCTAATTTGTGTGTCCAGTGGGAATGCCACAGTTTAGTCTAGACAAGTTGGTGGCTTTCATCAGTCCCTGTAGCCTCGCAGATAAAGAGACGCTCGTCGGGGGGGTTGACTGAGGAGAGAAGGCAGGTACTTTTCCCCATGGAGCGCTTTCTCCTCTCCCCCATTTCCAGTTACCATGGCATTACAGCTTAAGGCTAACCAACATAAAGCATCAAGGGGCTAACAGTGTGACATATGGCAACAGAAATCTTCAAACATACAAGGTGAAATTTATGCATTAAACACACACACACA